AATCACCAATTAACCTCAGCATGTTTCTGGACTGTGGGAGGAAGCCGGAGAACCCGGAGAGAACCCACGCTGCACGGGGAGAACATGGAGACTCCAATAAAATTCAGCAACATCATAAAATCAAACAAACAAAGCAGGTTAATAACAGAACTGAAACAACGAAATTAAACACATCAAGGAAAATAATCAAAACAGGAATATACACATTTAAAAAAAAACAAAAATGAAAGTAAATAAACAAAATAAATTCAAATGAAAGACCAACATGAAAACAAAATGAAATGTCAAAACAATGAAACAAATATAAAGAAAACACCAAGCAAAACAAAATGAGATAAAGATTACAATAAGAATGCAAAAAGCAAATAAAAAATGAACAAACTCATGAACAAAACAAAACAAAAACAAAATGAATCAATATCAAATAAATAATAGAAGAAGAACCACAAATCCATGAATAATTGAAAAACAAGATCAAAACCAAACATGGAACAAAATTAAAACTAAACCACTACAGATCTGCCGTCCACCTCACCGTTGTCGGGGTCATTGCGAAGCTCCTCCTCCAGGTCGTCGGGGGACACATACTCTGGCTCCGCCCCCTCACCTGTGGGCTGCGGCTTCAGCTTCCCGCAGCAGCAGTTGCAGCAGCAGCAGAGGCAGCAGCAGCAGTAAAACCCAGTCAGAATCCCACAAACTGCAAACAGACCCTGGAACACAACCAAACAGAACCGCAGCGTCACTTCGTGTCACCTCGCTCCGCTCAGGTGCACTGTAAGCTCCGCCCCCACCTTGGCCCACCAGGTGGACAGCATGAAGTAGGTGTTGACGTTGTCCTCGCCGAACTGCTGCGCCACATAGAGTCCCAGCGATCCGTACGAGTCGTAGATGTTCCTCTTGGTGAGGTCAGACAGAACAGCGTGAGCGCTGTTCAGCTCCTTAAACTTCTCCGCCGCCTCGGGGTTGTCGGGGTTTTTATCGGGGTGGAACCGCAGCGCCAGCTTCCTGAAACCAAATGATTTTGGTGATCACATCACTTCCTGTGGTCAGCCCTTGACTGCAGCAGCTGGCCATGAAATAGCACGAAGGCTAGTGTTTCTTAATTCATTTATTGGTTAAATAATCCATCCATCCAGGTGAAGGCAGGTTCACCTGGACAGGTAACCAGTCTATCACAGGGCTACACTTAGAGACAGACAACCAAGCACACTCACATTCACACCTACGGANGGCCCTCAGTGTGTGTGTGTGCGGCCCTCAGTGTGTGTGTGGCCCTCACCTGGAAGACATCGTTGGCACATTTGCGGCACAGGTTGTGCTGGCAGGGCAGGATGACCACTGGCTTGGTGAACATCTCCAGGCAGATGGGGCAGACGAGCTGCTTCTCCAGACTCTCCATGACAGCGAGGAGGCCTCAGCCAGGCGGACAGGACGCAGGACAGAAGGCAGAAACCCTGAAGCGTCCCTCAGAACCACCAAAGTGAAACTGTGCTGCTGTTGCAGGCATGGCTGTTTTTAGACTGTGTGATGTCAGCTGTTGCCGGGCCAACACGCCCTTATATGTCAAAGGTCTGGAGGACACATGGGGGAGGGGCAACAGAGGGGTCAGGTTCTTAAAGTGACGCGCATGGTGCTGGACAGAAGACCCAGCAGCGCCTCCTGCTGGTCACGGGGAAACATGTTCATTCATTAAACCATCTTCACTGACGCTAGCAGCAGGTTCTGTTCTGTTCTCCGTCTCCACACACGGACCTGTTCCTGCATCGGTGGGTCATGGAGCCGAGCAGCCCAAGTCCTGCTAAGACTTAATGAAGCTCCGCTTGGTCTGATGGCAGCCTTCAGCTTGGCTGTTCTGTAGGGTTCTGTGTGGTTCTGTGGGGTTCTATTCTTCTACTGTGAATGAAATATTCTAATAATCTGAGACCTGGAGGTCTGATGTCCAAGAGCTGTAATCATCTGAATGAAAGCTGTGAGTGTAGGTGTGTGAGTCTTCCTTAAACGACTGAAGGAACATCTGAACCTTCTTCACCGTGTTCTAGTCGGTTGTTGCTGTTCTGGTCTTTATGATCCCAGTACGTGGAGACGGAGTTCTTATGGGTTGGACCTGCTAAGCTGGCAGGGCGCCCCTCTGTGTCGGTTCCTGAGATCTGCTGATGCACAGTATCTATGGACACGTGTGTGTGTGTCACATATTGGCTTGCTTTACTCACAGGAGCGTCTTCCATCTTTACAGAACCAGAATCTGATCAGTGGATCCTGGTAAACAAGACTTAATCCTGAATCACACGTCCCCAGCTGTGGCTCTGCTTCAGGTTCTGCTGTGACTCCTTTACCTGTCGTCTCTGCTCACCTGAGCTCAGAGGCTCCGGTTGTGATAAACCACCTTTTGTCTGCATCTGAGTCCAAACTCCAGAATCAGAACCTCACAGTGATTATTGTTAAACACGAGCTCACTTCGTCTCTGCTGTCGTCTGGTCACTGAACTAAACTCTGGATTCTATCGTTTACGTTTTCAGATTTTACGTCGACTGTAACGCTTCGGTCGCTGATGTTCTTCTGGAGGTGGTTGAAGGTTCAGGACACAGCAGGTGCATCAAACAAAGACTTCACACGTCACAGACACACAACAGCAGCCAATCAATCAGACACAACAATCAATCAGCAGAGAGAATCAATAAATCAGGACTGCAGCTTCACTTCATTTATATTTACTAATCAACGTGAAAACTCCTGAGGCGGGCAGGTGAGGTCACATGACTCCAGGGTTACTTCAGTTCACAATCAGAAACAAACCTCAAACCAAAACTTTATTTACAGCAGACGTTAACAAAACACTGGAAAGAATCAGCAGTTGTGAGCTGCAGCGGCCAATCAGAGTGCTAGTTTACTAAGTGCTAGATGAGTTTAATAAATATGAGAGAGTTAGACACAGTCTGACACAGTGAAACCTACAGAGGCCCTGAAGCTCCAAAAGAACTCTGAGCTGTTTCAGTTGAAGAAGAACTTTTTTAAAAACTCAGAAAACTTGTTGCTCTGGATTGTTCAGGATTTCACTGACTGTCAGACTGCAGCTTCAAGAACATAGGATGACAACATTGGACAGATTTGAATGTTCCTGTTGTTTGTCTGGAACGAATCGAGCTGAGCCTTCATGTGTAGGTGTCTCCGTATCTGCGTCGTCCGTCGCCGATCAGCTGCGTCTTCTCGCTGGCGTTGGTCGGCTGCTGGACGATCGGAGCTTCGACGTCTGAAGACACAGAAACAGAGTCAACACGTCACGACTCACTGCAACAAAGCTGCAGATTCTCAATCAGTCTGATCTGTTTCATCAAGAGAAAAATTAAAAAAGTAAACAAAAACAAAAATAAAAAGACAATAAACAAACACCAAATAAACTAAAATCTAAAGAAATAAACCTAAATGAACAAAAGCTAATAAAACAAAATCCATCCATCATCTCTACACCTTAACCCTCACTAGGGTCATGGGGGGCGGAGTCTATCCCAGCTGACTCAGGGTGAAGGCAGGTTCACCTGGACAGGTAACCAGTCT